TAATATAACATATAACATAACATAACATAACATAATATTATATTATATTATACCATTGATGAAGATCTATACTACTGCCTCAGGTGTTTCGCTGTGTATTGCTGCCTACTCAGACAAGTTGTTTGTTATCACTGTCAACTTGTAGACACTCTACATATTATTACATATACTCATGACTTGTTTTTACTAAGATAGTTTTTATTTCTTGTGTTTGTTCTTGGAAAGGAGAGATTACTGTATTATTATATTATACCATTGATGAAGATCTATACTACTGCCTCAGGTGTTTCGCTGTGTATTGCTGCCTACTCAGACAAGTTGTTTGTTATCACTGTCAACTTGTAGACACTCTACATATTATTACATATACTCATGACTTGTTTTTACTAAGATAGTTTTTATTTCTTGTGTTTGTTCTTGGAAAGGAGAGATTACTGTATTAAAGACTTCTGTTTTTTCCTATTTGTGTTTTTTCTTTAGATTTCATGGATCCCAATTTTTCTTGTTTTGCTTTGGACTTCATTTTTACATTGTCTTTGTTTTTCTGAGATCTTTGACACATTGGCTGAAGTCCAGTAGTAGGTTACAACTAGAGCAAGCCCATTGAATCACTGGGGATTTGGTATGTCAACACCTATCTGAGTTCCACAGTTGGCCTACTTCAGTTGCATCTTACTTCCAGCTTTTACCCATTGAGTACTACTGATTCAGTGACTCTTTCTACTCAGTTATAACTAACATCCAGATTTAGCCTTTAGTCTTTTCAAATATCCAAAGTATTCCAAAGAGAATAAAAAAGGTTATAGCAACTTTCTCCTCAAACTTACTTATGCATTCATTTCTTTCTCGGGATCGTTGTCCAACGTGTCCAGGGGGACAGGATGAAACACACACCCCTATCTGTTTCATGTCTCTTCTCTCCAGATGGAAAAAGAGTCGAGGTTTACATGACATGCACCCATTGTATTCAGAACATGTTGCACATCCTCCTGGGCAAATTTGGCTCATATTGCGATGCACTAAGAAGGAAAATTGCCGAAAACAGTGCAGGGGTTAGTTAAATCACTGATAACATCTCTCTAAACTTTAAATCTTGTACTCAAACCTTGTGTGGTTTTTTTATAGCTTGAAATCCAATGTTTCATAATAAGCTTCTTTCCCTCCGTTTGTTCTTAATTTTGTATTTACAGGAATAAAATTTTATAATAATTCAATACATGGATTCTGTATCTGTTCTTTAAAAGGGAAAGAATATGTTCTATCACTTTCTCAATCCAGTACATAACAAATATTGCTCATCACTCATAAAATGTACCTGTACCTTGCAAATAACTTCACCGCAGCCTTTAATAATGTGTCAGTAATTTAACAGGACAATGATAATGTGGCTGAAATCTTGTTGCTTAGCATAGTAAATTGCAACTACAGTAGGTCCAATGAATCAGTGGAGATGTCATAATCAATTGATTGATTAGCCTGCTTCTTTTGTAACTTATAAACTTACTACAAAATTTGAATTTCCAACCCTTTCTCCCTGCCTTTTTGCCTTCAGAGCTCTCAAAGGGCTTTCTGTCCAACATTGGAGGAAGCCCTTTGAAAGCTCCGAAGGTGCCAATCACAGTGGCAGGGACCCCCAGGGAGGTATCCCATGGTGGCAGACCTCTCTGGAGGTCCCCACCACCGCGATCGGCACCTTCGGAGCTCTCAAAGGGCTTCCTCCCCCCCCCGCGCCTCGGGGTGGGGCCTTTTGGGGCTTGCAGGGGCGAGGGAGAAACGGCTGGAAATTCGAATTTCCTACACTTTCTTCCTGCTTTTTTGCCTTTGGAGCTCTCAAAGGGCTTCCTCCAATGTTGGGGGGGGGCGAAGCCCTTTGAGACCTCTGAAGGTAATTTTTTGAAATGCTGGAACGGATTAATTCCGTTCCCATGCATTTCAATGTAAAATGCTACTTTGACTTATGAACTTTTCGAAGTACGAACGCTATTCAAAAATGGATTAAGTTCGTAAGTCGAGGTACCACTGTATGCCGATTTCCACTCGTGTTTCCTTCTTGTTTTCAATATCCATGTTAATGTAGAAAACACTTTATTAAAAGATAACTAAAATTTGTGGATCTTAATCCTGTTTATATATTCTTAAGGGTAGGAAAACATGCTATATGCAATGGGACTAGTAGCCAATAAATTATGCAGAGAACAATATTCTTATTGACATAAAGCTGAATGTCACACATTATTACTATTAAGTAATAAAGCTCACCAAGAAAGCTTATGGCTAAGTAACTGCATTTTATTTATGTATTTGTTTCATTTATATACTGCCTTTCTCCCAGAGTTGTCTTACAGAACAATTTAAAACGGTAAGAGATTAAAATACAATAAAATAACAAACATTAACATTGTAGGAATGCATCTTTGTTTTAAGCACTTCTCTTGTCATTTCAACTGTATTTAACAGATACAAGTTACTAAAGTTCAGTGATAAAATCAATAACAGATTAACATTCCCCAAAGACAATAGACCCAATGCCACTATCAATATTCTCATGACGTATGTCAATGCATAGGTTCTGTAGCCTGTTCATGCAGCATAATGGTAAGGTCCAACAGGCTGGGTCAGGGCTCTATGTAAGCTTATATATCCTATATGAGAACATGCTGCAGTTCTATGACAGATAGGCAAAAGGATTCCTTTGCCATAGTAGTCACTTTGAAAAGCAGAGATAAGCATCAGAAAAAGCAATTTCATTTTCATTATTAATTGAAAAATCAAAGCCATATTTTATGAATCCTTATTTTGTAGATTTTTTTGAGGATATTTATTAGTTAAATTATTTTGTATACAGAAGAGCCTAGATGGCTGACTGAGGATATACTTATAAATGAATGACAGATGAGAAGTAAAGCAAGAGAAGAAATGAACAACCAAGAGATCTCTTCCATAACATCGAAGGAAGGTCCAAGGATTAGGAGAGAAATCTAAACCCATTGCATAGAGGCTGAAAAATCAACAGTGGACTATAATTATCTGATCATGATAAAAATAAAAACGAGATGGAAACAATATAATGAAAAACTATACAGAAGAGATGGAAAGATGAGCAACTTCTTTGAAGGAACCTTTAATGAAGCATCTGTAATTTTAGAAACAAAAGTTGCTCTCAGAGTAACTCAAAGAAATAAAGAATATATAGGATACTATTTCAAGCTGCAGAGACTGAATCTATCAAAATCCTAACAAGAATACACCAAGGAATTTGGGAAAGAAAATAATGGGTCACACCTGGAAACATTCTGGTTCCAAAAAAAGGAGAGTATATGGAATGAGAATTTCCCAGTGATCAAGCTGGCTTCAGAAAAGGTAGAGGCACTAGAGCTCATATTGCAATATACACTGGCTACTAGATTATACTGAAAAATACCACAGAATTAAGAAGAAAATTGATCTGTGCTTTATACAGAATTAAGAAGGAAATTGATCTGTGAACCATATGCATCATAAAATCTATGGACTTTTCTAAAATATGTAATTATGCCACAACATTTCATTATCTTGATGCATAATGGACAAAATGTATACTCTGTACAAGAAGCTACTGTTAGAACAGAACAGCGTTCTCCATTACAGAAAATGTCAGATAACGGTGCATTTTATCACCCAATCTATTCAACTTTATACACATAACATATTTAAAAAATTAGATTAGATTCAGGTGAAGGAGGAAAGAAAATTGGTGGAAGAAACAATAATTTAAGATACACAGATGACAGCATATTACTGGCAGAAAGCTGGACCGATTTGTAATGATTGAGGAATGTGAAAGAAAGAATTGCAAAAGTAGTGTTGCAACTGAACATTTAGAAGGCAAAAGTCATGACTACAGAAGAATTATATAACTTTAATATTGACAATAAAGACATTCAATCAACTGAAAATGTTCTATACCTTGGTTTAATTATCAAAATGGGGACTGCAGCGAAGAAACTAAGAGACTGGACTCAGAAAGAAAGCTATAAAGGAACTAGAAAAAATTCCTTAAAACTAAGAATATGCTAGTGCAGTGGTTCTTAATCTTTGTTACTCGGATGCTTTTGAACTGCAACTCCCAGAAACCCCAGTCAGGACAGCTGGTGGTGAAGGCTTCTGAGTAACCCAAGGTTAAGAACCAGTGTGCTAGTGGATACGAAATAATCTATACTATGTTGTTACAGATTAATATGTACAGATGTGAAAGCTGGATAGTGAAGAAAGCTGATGAAGCAAAAAAAATTATCCATTCTAAATATGATGTTAGAGAGTAACTTTGTGGATACCACTGACTGCCAAACATAAAAAGCAAACAGCAAAGCTAAACATGCTGCTTTTATACCACCCCAGAGTGCTTACAGCATTCTCTGTATGGTTTACAATTTAATTAAGCTACAAATCACACACACCCTCAGGCAAGCTGGGTAACTCAATTTACTGAGCTCAGCCTGGAAGGATGGAAGGCTGAGTGAACCTCAAGCCAGCTACTTGTGATGGAGCCCTTGTTGTGAGCACATTTTTGGCTGCAGAATTAGTTTAACCAATGTGTCATGAGGTTCCTATAATAAATGGGTGCTAGCCCTTTCTAGAGACAAAAATTACTAAACTGAAGACAGCCTACCGTTGATATGTCATGAGAAGGCTGACTGAAAAAGATAAAAATGCTGGGAAAAGTTGAAGGAAGATGGAATGGGGAAGACCAAATAAGAGCTGGGTTGATTCAATAAAGGAAACCATAACTTAGAGTTCGCAAGAGATGAGTGGGATTGTTAAGACAAAATCTTTCAGAGGGAACTAATTCATAGGGTCACTGTAAATTAGAATTAATTGAATTTTCAATTAATTTAATTTCTTTATTGTCAATATTAAAGTTATATAATTCTTCTGTAGCCATGACTTTTACTTTGTAAATGTTCAGTTTGATGACATGTACAACATCAAAAATCTGAAAGCTATGCCACTTTGCCACAATCTTGTTTGGGATTACTATTTTCACATATTTTGTAATCTTCTCTAATAGAGTGTATGCTTAACCAATGCAGGAAAAAAATATACTAAACCACAAAAAAAAGTCAGTAAAAATATTTTGGGGCTGCTTTGGCCTTCTTAAATCTAAGAAGGTATAGAGGAACATACATGAACAAGGAAACCAAACCAATGAAGCTATACTTACTCATTTTCTTGTTTAATATTTCTCCAGAAGGCTTACAGAAACACACAAAATCAAATTAATTTCATTATTATACACGTTCCCTTAACCACATAAAAGAGGTGTTCCAGTAGGAATCTTGCATTGCTTAATCCCTGTCTGTTTAGACTGTATGTAATGGAGCACCTATTCTTTCTTCAGTTGTGATGAGATTATTTTTTTAAAAAAATTCATTACACTAAAAATGCAAACAAAAAATACAAACAACAAAAAAGCAACAAAAAAGAAAACGTAACGTAAAAAACTTTAGAAACACAAAGCCAAATAAACAATACAGTGATACATAATATGCTCCCCACAGGGACCACCTGCAGATATAACCATTTTTTCTCCTTTCTCTAAGCTAGGATTATTGATATGAATGAAGAGGCTTGACTAACCACTCTCCCTGCCTCCTTACTTTGTTCACTCCACAATCTGAAGAGGAAAGTTTTCTGTTTGCATCCAAATGTTACATGTAAGCAAGATTAGGCATCCTTCAGTCTCAAGAGACTGTAGTAATGTGCTCTGAGTAGAGGACTTGGAACAGCATCTAGTGTGGCTGAGAAGGCCAATGTAAGCAAGAACCTTGCTAATAAATTCAGATTCTGAGCTTCTAGTACGTACTTCAAATGGTTATTAATCCATAACAGATATATATATATGTAAGTACTATACAGTCATTCTGTTATCCAGGATCGTGAGAGTGGAAGGTTAGAGGGGGGAAAGCTATTTTAGCCTTGGAAAATCCGTAACCTCTTCTCTTCAGAGTTGTCTTTCACTGCTTATATCAGCAAAATTGCA